ACTTTCTTTGCTTTTCAACTTTCAAAAACTGATTCTGATTGCTGTGTTTTTTTCTAAGGAATCACACCGTTGCCCCGGATGTCAGCGACACAAACAGAAAGCATGATGTCAGCGATATTTCATCGAATGTGCATGACTGGATTCTCCTTCACGTGTTGTGAACCCACCTGGCCGCTCACACAGGCTGCCGTTCACCGGGTTGATGCAGGTTTGTGCTTTCAGTCCGCTGGACGCCGGCTCAGCCAGGTAGCCGCAGAAGCCGGCGTCGCTCGGCTCGCCGGGGAGCCACTGCAGGGTGGTGTTGGTGAAGGGCGACATGTCCTCCCAGCACCAGTACGACACGTTGATTTTCCTGAGCCCCACCCACGGCGTCACTGAAGCCTTGTACTGCAAACACACGACAGGAAGCCAAAGTCAAAACATCCACACATTGTTCTCTTTATATTTCATCGCTCTGCAGAGTTTGACTGCTGAACTGCAGGCTGTTTACAGAGAGGACCAGAGGTTGTACAAGTTTAACGGCTATGGCATAGGAAGCCACATTTGTTTCCAATATTGGTAACGCTTGTGGGCATGTTGTGTATATAGATTCCATTTTAAAATGATGAAAGAAATTGAACTTGCATGTTTTCTTTTTGTTAAGATTTATGGCATCATAATTGTGTTATACTGCAGGATAGTTTTGAGTGATTGTCGCCATTATTGTGTTGTTTCCATAGAGGTGCTTGTATATTGAGTGGTGACATCGAGTAAAATGTGACGCCCTAAAACTGCTCGAGGTTTTAACAGAGTTAAAAAACAAGAGGCTGAGAGACAACTTCATCACCAGGAAGTCTGTAGCTGAAGACTGATGTGATATTTGGTGAAAATCAGCGTCAGAAACAGATTTTCAGAATTTTTTTTTTTTTTTTTTTGTTGTTGTCAGGAATCACAACTTTGGCCTGGATGTCAGCGACGCAAACAGAAAGCATGATGTCAGCGATAGTTCATCTGTGTCGACATAAGTTCCCCTCTGGAGTGACCGAGTGGCTGTAAAAGCAGCGTTGCTTCACTTCACTCTATCCGTCCCATCTCCAATCAACGGCCACGCTGCTGCAGTCGCAGTAAACAAAGAGAGCTCCATCTCTCACGGACGTGGGCCGGATTACTGTTCCGGAAGGATTTTGTTGCATTTCTTGGATTGATTGATCCAGTCCGGAATATAACATGGCAGCAAGACGTGCTAAGCATGTCACGGCTCAACTGGACAGTTTGAGAACTAATTATATTGCAGAGAAATGAGGTTTTTACCTCTTCTCTACCTTTAAGCCCGGAGATTACCTGGAACTGACCAACAGAATTGAATTTAGACCAACAGGGGAAATCTACACAATCCCATTCGTATGGATGGAAACCACTTTCCAACTCCAGCCCAGGCTTTGTGATTCAGACGAAAATCTTTGTGTCTTATTTAGCTCCGACGTTACACGTCCCGTGTGGTGGCTCCAGGGGAACATGTAGGAGCGCAAGTGGCTTACATTCTTTGCATGGGTGGCTTTCAGAGAGGGATGGCGGTGTTCGTGCCCGCTGGGTGATCTAAGATACACCATGCAGCCGGAGCCGTGTTGCATTCAAGTGCAGACCGAATCGTTAGAATCTGAACCAGTACTTTTTCCACACGCACGCCGGGTTATGCAACGCTCCTCAGTGGAGTCAAGTGTAGACGCACACCAAGATATTTGGAAGGATTTATCTGTGATTAGACCAATAATGTGGATAACGTCCTTCTACGGCGCCTTTGGATTCAGGAAATGTGATCGAATGAATCCAATTATAGGACAGGACATGTGTCCTTTATGTAGACGCCTTTTTGGCCGTTCAGTGGCAACAATTCCTTTTTCTGCTGCTCATCGATTCACCGTTTAGTTTATAAAATGACAGAAAATTGAGGGAAAATGCCGGCTATAGAAGCCAGGGTGAGGTCTTCAAATGTCGTGTTTTCCTGATTTTGGGGACATAATCACAGCTGAATCTGAAGTATTACATAACCCAGCATGTGTTAAAAGCACTGCGGGAGTACACGACTAATCAGGCACTAAAAATATCTACTTTGCTTCAAGAGCTTTACATTTTTTTGTTTTCTCAAATAAGCTTTCAAACATTAACGGTCAAGCCTCAGAGCTTCTTTAAAGATTCACTCAAAGACGAGACAGCTACGAGGATCACAGGAGCATCACTATAAGATACCTTTAACACTGTAGATCTAAATGTGGACAGTCGGCTTTCAGCCCTGGAGCACAGAATCCACTGAGATCAGATAGAAAATCCTTCACAACAAAGGTTCAGTGCTGAAATAAATAAAGAAATAAAGATGGTTTATTTGTGCACTTTTATAGTTTCCTTTCTTGAGTCAGTGTCTCAGATCTGCTGGATTATGTTTTCTTCTTTCATCGGCCTCAACATGAAAATATCTGCTCAAAGAAGAGGCTCTGAACAATATATTGTTATTCTTTTAGATGAAATATAATTCTTCAGTCTTGATGTTTTTGCGATCTTCTTGCTGTAACAATCTATTTTATCTTCACATCTCTCTCCCTCTCTCTCTCTCTCTCCTGGCATGACGACTCAATTTCCCCACGGAGAATACATTTAAGTTTGTCTGATCTGATGATTAATATCCAGGACTGCCGCCGCCGCCTCCGCCGCCGCCGCCGCCGCCGCCTCCTCCTCCTCCTCCTCCTCCCACTTACCACCACGCTCATTATCTGCAGCTCCTTCAAGACGAAATCCACCTTCTTCTGCGTGGTCAGCGAGGCCAGGACGGCGTTGTGGCTCCTGCAGGCCAGCTTGGCGTTGTCGTACGAGTCCTTTGCCGTGATGAACTTCAGACAGGAGTTTCCCACCAGGTGCCAGCTTTCACCGCACACGTTCTCTGGAGCGGAGAGAAGCGATGAGGAGTTGGTACTAGAGACCCGACGGGCTGATATGCAAGTTGACATGAACGTCAATGGGGCCTCCGGGGGCCCATCTCTCCTGGTTATCCACCTTAATTATCTATAGATTAAATACTCTTTAGAAAGTTAGCGACCCTTGAAAACAATGCAGCATCTATTTGCCACCTCTCTTAACAGTTGTGAAGTTAAACAATTTCAATGGATTTCCATATTTTACAGAAATTAGAGAAAAATCTGAAAAACAAATATTATTTTTCACTTACGCTCCCAAACTGTGAACTACCCAAAAACATGAGAGAAGCAGCTCTGGTGACATTTACAAGCATCACTTTAATTTTGCGAAGCCTTTTTTAACAGCACTAGCACTTCATGTCCCACATCTGTCTCTCAAATGGTCTTTAATGTATTTAAACACTTGTATTAAACATCATCCAGGTTTTAGAAGCACTCTTCTGTGTACGTCTTAGTGAGTTTGATGATAGGAAACGAAAACGCATGATTTCTAAAACTAACACACACAGTGACGTACCTGGCAGCGAGATGCACTCCTGGTTGCGAGGTTCCCACTGACAGTTCTGGTCCACAGCGCAGCTCTTGCAGCTGGTTTTCTTGTTGCACACGTATGAGGGGTTGTCCTTGGGGCAAACGTCATACTCCCCTATGGCCCCCTGGGAAGAAAACAACAGGAACAAATGATGTAGACGTATGAAATGGTGGGCACAGTCTAATGTAGTTATGCTTCTGTATTACATTAGACATTGACACAGCTGTATTTAGCATTATAGAAATGAGTCAGCTAAGACGTTTACCAACGTTAGCTGCCAAATCTCGCCAGAGTGTGTTCCCGAGACAGAAAGAGGTCTCAAACAACGTTCAATTTCTCCGTTTTAGTGTCAGTATCTTCGAAGGTATGTGGTTTGTGTAATTGGCCATAATCTGCCATCCCGTTCACTTCTCACATCGGAGGCAACCGACTCAGAACCTGCTGATGTTTCCTCCTAAAGGGGCGGGGCGGGGCGGAACCTAAACACACCTGAACCGTCTCCGCTTCCACTCTTAGGATTCAGAATATCATTATCACCAATCATTACACTCGCTGCTCCGCTTACTCGTAAAATAAAATGTTATTCTGTCACCAAGAAAAGGCAACAAAATGTTCTAGATTTGTAAGATTTTGAAAAAGATTGAAATGTTGTGGCCGTAATGAGAAAGAATCTCATCATGTCCAAATTAAAATCCTTCTTTTTCTTACTGACAATGAAGCTATTTAAGCAGAAAGCCACATTATCACAAGTGTCGGATTATCAAATGACTGCAGTCAGAGCGACCGACCCGTGTCAATCAAATGTTCTAGAGACGAGTGCAGATCAGAGCGCCAGAGGAGACACATTAACCGTCACATCGCATCTAAACGAGCGGTGATTTTAATCACAGTCGGACGAATCAGACTCAGAGTCAGAGACTCATCAGCTCTTTATATAATCTGTACTCAAAGTTGACACGTCCCGATGTATAATGTGTAAAAACTCTAAAGAGGAAATGAACACGTATGTGTCCTGTTCAATCCTGGAGTGTCACTCGATGAAGAGACTACCTGTCGATGTACGACAGTAAGTCTGAAATCTCAGCCCAGATGTGGACACGATGTGCAATGTTGGAGTTAGCAGGTCAGTTGGCGTCGTCGGCTGCTTTCTTACCGTGGCTGAAGTGCAGTTGCTTCCCTGAGACAAGCACTGGCTGGAACACCACTGGCAGCCGTTGGTGTTGGCAGTGCAGCTGTAGCAGTCCGTGTACTGGTCACACCTCTCGTCAGCGTCTGCACAACATGGAATATAAATAGTAAACAGAAGTTTGCTCTTAGAGCTGGTCATTTAGCAGACACCTGTGGTGGTGGAAGTATTCAGGTAACAGTAACAATATCGAACCACAAAACTCGCCAGCGGGTTTAAACAGTTAAAAAGGTTTGTTTACAGAAACACTGTCATAATGACAGCATTCATCGCAGCCAGAAGCTGTGAAAACAGTCCCTGAACCCGTCATGTGCGAGGAACGCTTCAGTCAGGAGAAGCAGCCAAATCGAAGATTCTAATTTTAACATTTCATCAAAATCAATTTACAATGCATGTCTCATTTTAATGTTTTGCCCAAAATAAACCGTTTGCACGAACCAGATCTTGTAAAAAACATTAAATTCTGCGCTGCACATCTAAAAAGTCTGGTAAACATGGAAATAGTTCAATATGTATAAATCCTACACACTGTGCCTTTAAGTAAAAGTACATGAGCATCAGCAAAAGGTACTGAAACGTATCAAGTAGTCAGCAGACATTTTGGAGTGTTCCATTATTAAATATCACATTTGTGTATCATTGTTAATTCAGCAGCATTACAATACTAATACAATAGTACAGAGGCACTTCGTTACGGTCCACCACTGCCAGAATTCATAATTCTCACAATTTAATGTTAATCTACTGTTTCAACGAATGGAACTTCTCTTAAATGGAAGCAGGGACTTTATTTAGTTCTTGTTCATTTGTCATGGTGAAGTTTAAGTAATGCAGATTGTGCCGTGAACCACGGATCACTCGACACCTCCTGGACGTGAGGTTTCTTCAGGGGGGAACTGGGGTAGGACAACTGCCAGACGGCAGCAGAGCAGGAAGGCCTCGCTGCTGTTAAATGTGGCTGAAAGATATTCCGGGGTAAAGTTTCCATCTGCCAGAGGAGAACGAGACCGACCGTGTCGGGGGAAACTGAGGACTCTTTCTTTTTTTGTGACAAAAAAAAGAAGAGAATTCGCACGCACGCACACGCACACGCACACACACACACACACACACACACATACTTTGAAGACAAGAATAAGTGTAAAATAATAATGAATGTAGTGCGATGTGCTTCTGGAGCACATGCACACTCCCTCATACACAAAATGCTGAAGCTAACAATTATTACAAATTCATGATTATTTTTAATGAATCTATTCGTTTTTTATATGTAGTTTAGAAAATGTCAGAATATAGTAAAAGAAAAACCTCCCGTCACAGTTCACCAGAGACATCTGAACAGGAAGTCTGTGTTCTCTGTCGGGGGTCTTTGTGGACCCTCTGGGGGCTTTCACACCCGCCCTGTTTGGTTCGGTCACAGCACACTCAGCGCAGTTCTCTTGGTGAGCACCATCGGTTTGAGCTGATGAGAAAGCTGTCAAATAAACACCGCTGCGGACCAAACAACCGACCCGAGTCCACTTGAAACAAAAAAAGAGCGTCTCAATGGGCTACCGAGCGGACTCTGGTGCTGTGAAAACAACGAAGCAGCAACTGGATTTATGACAGCAGATATGTGACTTCAGCACGATTTCAAAAGCTAAAAGCTAGAAATAGATCCATCTGCTGAACGTGAAATTTGTTCAGGAATTGATCTATAATGGATCTGTGAAAGGCCTTGTATACATTACTCATTCATACAAATCAACACATGTGCACATCAGCCCACTTGTGTCTGACGCCGTGTACTCTGTCAGTTCATTAAGAAGTGTGACAGCCATCCCACATGTACCGTCGCCCTCAATCATCACTGTACAAGACGCCTCATGCTCGTGTGCTCCCCGACGTTTGAAGCATTCATCTCGGAGCGACAAAGGGGCTTTAGTGCAGTCCTGTGTCTCCCCGTCATTACTCACAACATGAGAACGATTCCAAGACCAATACATCGTATCATGAGTTGTTTCTCTGTGAGTCCAAAGAACATAAATATACACATCAGAAGCATTAAACTGCTGCCAGTCACCAGGATTGTATTCCCCTCGTGGCTCCTGATGAAGGATGACAATCGCTAAATCTGTCCAATCAGCAAGTTACCCGTCAGTCTGTCTTTAACGTCATGTTTACTCCTCGTAGTTTGGTTGTAAAAAGTCAGCTTTAGGGCTGCAACTAACAACTACTGTCATTATTTACTGATGTGTTGCTTAATAATGAATCAATTGATCAATTAATAGTTTAAACTAAAGAGCCCGCGGCGATGTTTTCAAATATCTTGTTTTGTCCAACTGTTCAGAAATATATTCAATTTAAAAGTGAGAGAAGAAACGGACCCTCACGTGCAGCTGCTGAACGTTTGACATCGTCTTTTGATAAATGAATTAAAACGCTGATCAAAACTGTCGATCGGCTGATGTTTGAACCAGTTTCAGCACATAATCTCACAAACAGAAATGACATCATCGCCAGAGACAGCAGCACCGTTTCTAAAGATGCATGAAGGCCACGCATTCTACATGTCTCTCTCACACACACACACAAATAAAAAAACACCCTGGTGACACATTCTTTTGCCATTTTCACTCTCTGATGTGCGAGACTGCGTTGGCAGTCTGTGACAAACAAGCCGTTCCTGCCGGTTTATGCGTGCCATCGGACATCAGCGCTGAGAATGCAGATGAGCTCTGCAGCAACTCGAGAAAGGACAGCGAGCCTCCAAAATAATCTCGGATTAGTTTCACACGGCAGACGTGCACCAGAGCGGGATTTTAAAAAGCGACGGCGGCGTCACCTACATGATCGGG